TATGCATAACTAACTGTATTCTGACTCTTACAGAGACTGTCATTCATCTGAAAAAAATGATTTTGATTGAAGGTTATTTCTTTAAAGAGCTTTCCTAAAACCAAAGATCTGTGACCTGCAGTGAGTTCCTAATTAGAAAAATCAGGGGGCAGCTAGGTGGCACAGTAGATAGATCATCAGCCCTGAAGTCAAGAGGACCTGAGTTCAAACCCGACCTCAGACCAAACACTTGTCACTAGCTGTGTGACCCTGGGCAAGTCACTTAAACTCAATTGCCTTAAAAAAATACTGGAGTGGTTTGCTATTTGGATAGAGCACCGGCCCTGGATTCAGGAAGACCCGAGCTCAAAACCGGCCTCATATACATAACACTTACTAGCTGTACGACCCTGGGCAAGTTACTTAACCCTATTGCCTAGCCCCCCCCCCCCCAAAAAAAAGGAAAAAGAAAAAAAAAAGAAAAATCAGAAAGATTTAAACTAGGCCCCCTGGTAGATAGGCCAAACTAGGACTTAGGGATCAACAGTTTATCTAGACATAAAGGAAACTCAAAATAAATTTCACGCACACACAAATTACGGAGGCTGAAAATATGTAGACTTGTGACATTACATACATCAGTTTTGGTACTTCTCCCATTTTTCTTCTTAACTATTATATGATTTACTAGGTGTGGAGGGCAAGAGGAAGGTGTATTAAAATATATTTTGTTCTGAGAATTTTGTGATACCTTTTAAGAAAAGTAGGAATTTCCACCAAGATTAGCAATCATTAACCTAGGGCTACATCCTAGGGACCCAGTACAAGTCTCCATAGTCCTCTCTGCCTTTCATTAGTCACCACAAACACCTATAGCAGTCATTGCTTGTCCCAGATATGTGCTTTATGCTCTCAGTTATCTCCTCTTCCATGGATTTCTGCTTTTTAGGACACATCCCCCTTTTGAGAGTCAGATGATTGCTTTTAGTGCTGTTTAGTCTTTTGATTTCCCAGTAATATGAGGCTTCCTCTCTAATCCTCATTTCTCTTCTGATTGCTCCAGGTACTTCCTTATTGAGCGTGGAAAGAACATGTGTGGTCTTGCTGACTGCGCATCTTATCCCATCCCACTAATGTAACCTGGAAATACGCAGGGATGGGCAAAGATGAAAAAAAAAAAAAAGACATCGTGTGCCGAAATACAATATATCATAAAACCTAAGTGAATGAACCCTGGGTTTTAAGTTGGCTATGAGGACTCAAAGTTAGTTGGTAACTATGAAGTCTCTTGACCTTCTGCCTCAGCTGAGAAAAAGTCCTTAGGGAACTCAGCTTTGTAGAATAGAAAGTTTTTGAATCATTTCTGTCCTCTTATAACATCCATCTAGCAAGGCAGCCAAGGAGGAATTCATCCTTTTTCTTACCTTGCTGATTAAAGCTCTTAGCAAAACAGGGACACTAAGCACCAAACTGCTCCCAGGGATTTTGAGACAAGCATTCAAGTGAGTCAAGAGGTAATAAAAGCACCACTTTTTTTACATGAAAAACTACACAACACTATGGTGGCCACTTCATTCTCAGGTAATTTTTATTCTTTTGGCAACAAGCTTCTCTTTTTAAAAATCAAATGTATTTTAAAGTAATATGTGATTTTTTTAAAATCTATTTTTGCCACATGCTAGTTGCTATTTTAAAAAAATATATTTTGATAAGAAATCCATTTGATCTACTGGATACACATTAGATTTGAAATCATTTTGGCTTAGAGTCAGTTTGAGTCAAGGGTAAAATTTGACTCAGCTGAAACTGAGGAAACCTGACCACTGAACCACCTTGGCTTTGAGCAGACCTCAGAACCTCTCGCTACCTATTTCCCCATTTGTAAAATAAGGGTGATGCATGGGATAGAATGAAACATTATGTGGAGCTCTTCAAAATTCTGCCAGCATAATTTTCACTTGCCTTACTAAGCATCACAGCAATGACACCTAGGAATTCATAGCCAAAATGTCATTTTATTGTGGCTGAGATGCTATTGCATGCAAATAAAGATACTTGACTATTTCACAATTTGTTTCATTCGTTCTGGTCTTTTTTCAAAGTTGTACTTGTTAAAGGCACTTCACGTACTAGCATTTGAAATAACAATCAGCAAAAAGTCCGATTTAATTCAGAACAGATGTTTTGTGCCCTGAAAGACTTCCAAACACTACTGAAATGAATCATGAGGATACATTTTGAAACACAGTCTTAATAAAATAGTGACTTGGCTTTTTGGTCTACATTTATGAGGTTATGAATATGCTGCAGTCTCTGCTTGCATAGTACTGAACAGCTATAGCAGCAGGAGGTTAGGTAGAAGGCATCAGAAATCAACCTTGGACAAACTATGGTCCCCTACACATTACACACTGCCAGTTTCCATATCACCATCATCCAGACCTTGGCAACATCTTCTGTAGTATCACTAGTGATGGGGTTTAGGAATGGGGAAGAGATGGTTTCAACTATTACCATTCCTTGCTCTGATTTTGGCTATTACTGCTCCCCTTTCTTCTCAATTTTCCCCAAAAGTTCAAAATATTTTGTAAACCACAAGGCAAATTCCTGACCCCACACCAATCCTAGAAATATTGCAAACTTTAATAGACTTATCTCTTCTAACTTTGATAGACTTATCTCTTCTTAGCAATTCAAGGATCTAAGACAATTTCAAAAGACTCATGATGAAAAATGCTGTCCACATCCAGAAAAAGAACTATGGAGTCTGAATGCAGATCAAAGTATATTATTTGCTCTTTTTTTGTTTGCTTATTCTTTCTCATGGTTTCTCCCATTGGTTCTAATTCTTTTTTACAACATGACTAATGTGAAAATAGGTTTAATATGAATGTATATGTTGAACCTATATCAATTTACATACTGTCTTGGGGTGGGGAGAGGGGAGAGATAGGGAGAAAATCTGGAACTCAAAATCTTACTGAAATGAATATTGAAAACTAAAAAAAATAAATAAATAAATTTGTTATTTAAAAAATAAAGATATATTACACAGGTTCTACCATTCTATCTCCTTTGAACTCTGACAAAATTCCTGGCTACATATCATTAGAGATGAAAGGGGAAAACTTTTAAAGGACCCAGACAGGAAGATTGCTTAACAATAGTACTTTCTTTTTTTCTGTTATAGTCTCTCTCTCCTATATATTGGTAAAGCACTAAGCTGGATATGGGTCCCATGAATGTTGAACAGACAAGGGGGCTGTAAGAATGCACTACCCCTTGTTTCCTGTTTTCTTCCTTCAGCTTTCTAGTTTGACTTTCAGTTATGGATACCCAGTTTTTCTCTCCTCCTCAACTCCTGCTCTCACTGTAGGGGACTTCAACAAACATGTCAATACTTCCTCAAACACCCTAACCTCAAAGTTCTTCAGCTTACTCACTTCACATGACCTACTCCTCCACATACTTTAGCCACCCACAACAATGGTCATATTCTTCATCTTTCCATCACTCACAAATAGACCACTTCTATGTTCATGAACTATGAAATTCCCTTGACTGATCACAATTTATTGTCATTCCACCCCTCTCTCGCCTTGAAGTCCCAAACCCTGTTCTTCATCCACATCTTGACCTCCAATTCCTCAACACTTCAGTTCTTTCCCAAGCTATCACCCCGTACTAGCTACATTCTTCTCCTTTTCCCAAATTAGCCCCTTCGTGAAACAGTTCAACACAACATTTCCATTTCTCTCAAGTCCCTTGGTCCCTTATCCTATTGCTGATCATGCCTTGCCAAGCATCAGTCTTGGATCAGGCCCTCTATCACTATCTCCCTTGCACACTTCGTGCTGTCGTTGTTTCAGTTCTGTCTGACTCATGACCCCATTTGGGGTTTTCTTGGCAAAGACACTGGAGTGGTTTGAACCATTTCTTTCTCCAGCTCATTTTACAGACAAGGAAACTATGGCAAACAGGGTTAAGTGACTTGCCCAGGGTCACATAGTAAGTATCTGAGGTCAAATTTGAACTCAGGTCTTCTTGATTCCAGGCTGGCACTCAATCCATGTGATACCTATCTCCTTGCACACTTACTGCTGAACAAAGCCGGAAAAAATAATGAAACCATGCTGACTGGGACCATTACAAATTTATGTTACATTACATCAACTGGGCTCTCACTCCTGAAAGGCAACTTTTTTACACTTCCCTAATTAATTTACTATCCCATTCACCACAGCCAGCTCTTCTAACCCTTTTCATTCCTCTTCAAACCTCCCATGGCTCCTTCTCCTCCCCCACCCTCTCAGTTGAGAACCTTGCTTCACAGTTTACTGAAAAAATTAAACAGATTCACTGAGAACTTCCTCTTCTCCTCTCTTCATTTCACATCATTTAGATATGCCACTATCTCTTCCTTCATTCCTGTCTCACATGATGACATAGCCCTCCTTACTAAGGCAAACTCCTCTACAGGCACAAATGATCCCATTCCATCCTATCTTCTCCAGCAGCTCCCCCTATCATCCTCGCTTTTAATAATTATCAATTTCTATCTGTTTACTGAATGATTCCCTATTGCTTACAAACATGCCCACATCTCTTCCATCCTTAAAATCTCTCAATTGATTTCTGCTAGCTAGTATCCCATATCTCTGCTCTCTTTTGTGTTGAAACTCCCTGAGAAGGCCATCTACAATAGTTTTCTCCACTTCTTTCCTTTTCATTCTCTTAGCTCTCTACCTCATCATTCTTCCAAAACTTCTCTCTCTTCGTTGTCAAATACAATGCCTTTTCTCAAATCCTATCCTTCTTGACCTTTCTGCAGCCTTTGGTACTGCCTTTGACACTTTGATTCTTCTTGAAACTCTCTTCTCTCTAGGTTTTCATGATTCTATTCTCTCTTATTTCTCTTCCTATCTATCTGATGACTCCTTCGTGGTCTCCTTTGCTGGATCTTCATCTAGGTCACACTCACTAACCTTGGGTGTCCCACAGGGCTCTGTCCTGGGCCTACTTTTCTTCTCCCTCTATATTATTTCACTTGGTGGCATCATCAGCTCCCAAGGATTCAATTATCACCTCTATGCTGATGATTTTAAAATCTACTTATCCAGTCCTAATCTTTGGGTTGAACTCTAGACTTGTGTCTTCAGCTCCCCATTAGACATCTTGAAATGAATGCCCTGTAGACATCTGAAACTCAACATGGAATTCATTATCTTCCTCACTTCTCCTTGCCCCATCTTCCCCCAGCCCTGAAACACTTGCCTTCTCCTAACTTCCCTACTATTGTTGAGGGTACCACATCCTTCCAGTCACTCAGGTTTGCAACCTAGGTGTCATCCTGAACCCCTCACTCTCTAACCCCACCCCCATCCAATCTGTTAGCAAAGTTTGTTCATTTTACCTTTGCAGCATTTCTCATACATGCCCTCTTATCTTCTGACAATTGCTACCACCCTCATCACTTCACAACTGGGCTACTGCAATTGGCTGGTGGTTGATCTCTATTCCATAAGTCTCCATCCTTCACTCAGCTACAGAGTGATCTTACTAAAGCTCAGGTCTGACCATGACATCCCTCCCCTACTCAATAAACTTCATCCCTCGCTAACTCCTGCAGTATCAAATATAAAATCCTCTGGCATTCAAAGTACTTTATAACTTGTATGTCCCCTCCAAACTCCCCTAACATACCTTTCCAATTTTCTTATACCTTACTAACACACACACACACACACACACACACACAAACACACACACACCATATACTCTGCAATCTAGTGACACTAGCCCCCTTGTAGTCCCTTAAACAAAGCATTCCATCTCCAAACTCTGGGCATTTTCATTGGCTGTCCTCCATGCTTAGAATGCTCTGCCTCCTCATCTCTGCCTCCTGACTTCCCTGGCTTCCTTCAAGTCCCAGTTATAATCCCACCTTCTGCAATAAGCCTTTCCCAATCCTCCTTAATCCTAGCACTATCCCTCTTGATTATTTCCTATTTATCCTATATTTAGTTTGTTTGTACGAAGTTGCTTGCACGTTGTCTCTCCCATTAGACTCTGAGCTCCTTCAGAGCAGGGACTATCTTTTAACCTTTCTTTGTATCCCCAGCTTTTAGCACAGTTCCTGACACACAGTAGGTGCTTACTAAATGTGTATTGATTGACTGGCTACAAAGATTGTTTCAAGTTTTGTTTTTTAAAACATTAAGGGAATTGTGTGATTGTTAAACTTTGAAGTTTCCCTATAAAAGAATGGTTGTCTATTGCAGAATGTATTTATTGAATGCATAGTATCTGCCCAGGCATTTGACTAAATACAATGGTAATACAAAAATAAATAAATCGTGGTCCCTGTCCTCAAATTACTTACAATCTGTTGGGCAGAAACTACATTAACATAGTACAACCGAAAACAAACTGAACTTGTCATCTTGACCCCAAACTCTTGCCCTTCTGAATTTCCTACTAGTTCTGTTAATAATTGTTCTCCCAGTAATCAGTACACAAAACCTTAGTGTTCAATTTCATTCCTCCTTTCTTCCTGCCAACATCTAATTACCTGATAGTTTCCATCAATTCCAATTTAGTAACATCTCTTCCTTCTGTCCTTTCTTTTTAATTTCCATTGACTTCACCAAAGTCCAGGCCACCATTGTATCTTTACTGGACAATTGTAATGGTTTTGGCGGCAACATAGTACAATGGGAAAAGCACTGAAGTTAAGCGTCTGAGGACCTGGATTCTGCCTATATAGAGAGTTCTACAATAGAGATGTCATGTATGAGACCTTGGACAAGTCACTTCCTCTTTCTAGGCCTCAGTTCTTCATTGGAAATGGTGTTAGACTAAATGATTTATCTCCAAGGCCCCTTCCGGCTCAAAACAATGACCTTTCTAACTTACCTTCCAATCTCTTCATCCTTCACCTCCTAATTCTTCCTACACACTACTACCGCATTAATTTTATTTTTAAATTTTTTTCAATGAACAAAAAAATTTGCCCTGCTACCATCTTCACCCCCCATCCCCTACCTCATGGCTGGAGGTGGGGGAGAAGG